GGTAATTAAATCATAGATATTAAGACTAAGCTGGTTTTACCTGTGTTTGGTTTCATATTCTTGACCTCTATAGGCTTTGTTTGACCTCGTTTTCTCAGCTTCGTACCTAACTCCGTGTTCTCTGTCATAGTATTCATGATAATTTGCAGCACCGGACCTTTGGTTTGGTACATTCTCAGAAATTGTGCTGGCATCGTCAGTAAGAGACGCCATCCTTAGCACAGAGTTACGACTTATCAAGGTAGCAAATGAGGCAATCCTCTTGACTAATTTTCTGTTTAACCTTTGTGGCCAATTTATCTATTCACACCTTTTTGTGATCTAATTTCCTCCTTCCCCTTCTCATCCGCACCCTTATTCTCTGGGCCTATATGGCTGGCTTTATTTTTAACTTCTGTTGTTGTTAGCTTTGTTTCCCCAATCCTAAATAACATAAAGCAGTCGCACTTAATCCTAACGTTTTACTTGGTTGTGCATGTGTATTTTGGTTTTTTAACTATTCTGGTTAGGAATGTCATCACTCTTTCTTCACTACAGACTTACACACACATTGAGGATCAACCGATATTATACCTTGGTTTCTACACTCAAGAAGTCTCGGATAGACCTATTGTGCATTTAGTTCGCTTATGGGCCTTTAATTCCATTTTCAACAGATGGATCCGCACTGATAGTTTTTCAAGCTGATTCTAGGTATAATTATTCACTGCATTTGCCTTTTATTTACTTTAATTTGTCCACCATCATCCTCTTCTAAATCAATTATCCGATGATGGAAATCATCATGAATACTGTGGCAAAGGACACAAGACTAAGTATGTTCTACAAGGTCTCCTTGTCGCTCCGATCAAGTTGTAAAAACTAAGTCAAACTAATACTCATTTATTTTTTCTTTCTTATGCCAAAAATGTCGAATAGCACTGTTCTTACTCAGTCTTATACATTAAAATGAAATTTCTTCACCCGTGAACTGACCTAAAAAAATGTTATAGTATAATATAGGCACTACAAAACATCCTTCCTACTTTATGTTCATTAGAGATGATTTGAATTTGATCTTTTGTACATAATTTCATACTTGGCTTACTTGTCCATCTATTTTACTACTTTTGAATGGCCTCACGCTTTACCCACATTTTAGCTTCCCCAATTTATTCTTGATACTTTTATTCAATCTGGAAATGGTGCTCAATGTTCTATACTTGTAACTCAACCACGAAGGATCTCAGCTATCAGCTTGGCCGAACGAGTGTCCTCCGAACGTTCTGAAATTATTGGTCAATCCGTTGGCTATACCGTCCGCTTTGAGACTATTTTACCTCGTGCATTCGGATCTATCTGCTTTTGTACCGTAGGTACCATGGCACGCAAGGTGGAATCTGGCATGCGTGGTATATCGCATGTCATCGTAGACGAAATTCATGAACGAGATGTGAACAGTGATTTTATGCTTATTCTTCTGAGTGAACTTGCTCATGCCCATAAAGACATACGAATTATTTTAATGTCCGCTACTATAGACGTTACCATGTTTTGTGAGTACTTTGGAGGATGTGCAGTTCTGGATATTGAAGGAAGAACTTACCCTGTCACAGGTAAGTCTTGCTTTCAGTTTTTTCTTACATTAATTCACTCTACACTTTTTTATTTTTAGCATTTTATTTGGAGGATTGCATCAAGATGCTCAACTATGTCCCTCCTCCACCTGACGATCGCAAGCGAAAGCGTAGAGAGGAACTTGCTTCTATTCATAACGATCCAGCTGAGAATGCTCATTTAATTTGTCCAACTGAATATGGACCGCAAGTCG